CCCCCCCCCCCCTGTGCGATCTCTCGGATACCCGTGCAAAGATTCAATCAAACAAATCATCTCGTTCTTGGTTTATTACTGCACGGTGGTGCACTTCCTCGATCCGTGCCAAAATCTCCGATTTTACAGCAGTAAACTACCTCATATGAGCTATTTTGACCAGTCAGTCAAGCACGCAGTGGCAGAACGAAGAATGACGCTGGTGCAGTCGGCTACGGTCGCCTGTCATCACAAAGCTTAGAACCTTTATCATATTGTCAAAGGCGTCGCTTCGGAGGTCTAGTCTAAGTTTCCCACTTCTTGCTAACCAATATAAGCTTCTGTATTTACAATGTATTCAACCCTTGGTTTGCTCATCAGGCTTCCGCTGCAGACGAGTTGCGAGCGACGGTGGCGTCGCTCAACACCGACCTTCAACAAGCGAACGATAAGAACGCCAAGCTGTTAAAAGATTTCGAGGATCATGAAGAGAACAGCAAACGTTCGATCGTAAAGGTAAGTGATCGCGGCCCGCACGCGCATCGTTGTTTATTTCACCGGTCCAGTGTATAGGTGTGAGCACGGAAAGAGACTCAATGCTGCACATGGATTCCTCGACCACAAGCCAGAGAGCCCCTCTCAGCACCGCCTCTCAATATCAGGTAGGGGTATGTCAAAGAATAATTACATTTCTCGAACAACTAATTCAGAACCTCGTGGTGAGTGCTCTTAATAGGCGCGTCGTTTTACTGATAGTGGGCGGCTTTGAGCAAGAGTAGTAGTAGATACCTCGCGGTGGATGGGAGCGGTTCTGAACAAGACGCGCCTGATGCTCGCGATTTGATACATCTTGCACAGCTTCGAAAGCTGTTGGACAGCGCAAAAACAAGCGAGGCAGAGATGCGAGAAGAGCTTGCCGCACTGAGGGAGGAAAACCTACACAGCATGCTAACAAGCGAGGGTGGCGACGGCAACAGCAGATCTCACGAGGTGCGCTGATAAACACCATCTCGAGGAGTAGCATCCTGTGGTTGTAATAGTTCCATCACATGCGTAATGAATCTCTCACGGGTCACGAATTGTTGCAGTCATCAACATTCCGTTGTGGTGGTGCCTCCACCGAGTTCCATCATCACGATTGAAACGCAAATGGATGTGTTATTGTTTCATGGCAGCTCAAAACGTCAGGCAAACACAATGTATGGGTGGACTTAAAGTTGTACCGAAGTCACTGATGCACTCTACGACGAACACAATTTAGCAAGACAGCTCGTTGCCGCCTTGCATTGCACAAGACTATTGTAACACACCGCCAAGCGGCACTTCCCCTGAACCTTCGCATCACCGCCCCAACCCCTGCTTAATTTTCCCCCACGTGGGGATTGTTTGGCTGCTGCTACTATTGCTGATGCTCTCGTGGGGAGACAGCATCTTCGCCGACCACAGGATGCTGCAAGCGCTGATGGGTCGTTTTTTGCGGATTTCAACGGCAAACCTGAGGTCGTAGCACCGCCGTCAGAGAAGAGCGACAAGATGTTGGTCTTGGAACTAACTGAAGGGCTCAGGCGAAAGGTACCAGCGCACACACGGATCGATGTCCGTTGTTTTGCCTTGCGAATCTGGTAGCGCAGTCCTATTGGGAATATCATCCATAACCTCTACAACGCTGCAGATATGTCTTCCCCAGCACCAAAATAAAAGAAGAAACGGACGCACAATTCTTTTAGACGCCCCCTCCTTCATTTTATTGTACTTTACGATAACTCGTCGCAGATATATTTTCTAGTTCGGATTCGCCCTTCGACAACTTCGACATTACGAAGGATAGGCCGCTGTGCCAAGGAGGCTCACATATTTGCGTTACGGTTCATGCGTCCATTGCACGGTAGGAAGAAGAACTCGAATATTGGCGAGCTAAGGTGGAGGAGCAGAACGAGGAGAGGGACAGGGCGGTCGACAAAGAATTGATGGAACGGGAGCTGGATGCTGCCAGGAAGCAAGCGGCTGCAGCTAGATCGACAGTCGAGGTGCTGCACACAGCTTCCGGGGGTATCGTATGTTTTGTTGCAAGCTTTTCGCTCGCAACGTCGTCGCTCCTTCTTGCTCCGTGCGTCGTCGGGTCGCATCGCAACAACCTGTTCTCCCCGTGAGGTGGAAGATGCCGTTTTTCGCTGGGCGGTACATCGTGGGCCCTCTAGACACGCCTTTCATTCACCGCCCGCATCGCCGATAACGTTCACGATGCGAACATTGTGTACGTGTCCACCTCCCTTCATCCTTCGCAACACCCCGGGCAACGATTTTTTTTATCCCGTATAGAACACAGCGGCCGTGGGAGAAGAAATCCTCTCCGGGGCGTACGCGAGGCGCGAAGAACAGGCGACCCTTGAAATAGCACAACTCAAGGCGCTTCTAACGAAGGCAGACGCCCAGGTGGGGCGTCGGGAACATGCGGGGTGAAACAATGTTGACTGCTGTCCGTTCGCATGCTTTCGCCCGCGCGGTTGATGATGTTCGTGCATTCACCATGTTTGAGGTTCTTGTGAGGGGGACACGTTTTGGTTTCACCGGTTGATTGTTGTCGCGCGGACTAAGCGACGGTTGGGACCTATACCCTTGATTTGGAGAATCTACCCGTACTAATGTGCCCCAGGCAAAACACTCGACAGTCACCCACGGCGTCGTTCTAATCTGACGTGCGATGTGTTCGTTCTCTGCGTTGTCGGGTCTGCTTTAACCAGGTCCTAAAGGGCAAGAGAGACAACAAGAAGCTTCTCAAGATGTGGAACGACGCTAGAGCACGCTTGCAGGAGGCGGAGGGGACCAACCGGAGCGGCGACGGCAGCATTCTCTCTCTGCCTATCATCGTCAGTAAAGTAGCGACGGAGGAACATGCGCCTCCAGAGGAAGTCAAGGAATCTGCTGCCAATCTGCGCTCTGGAAAACGCGCGCGCCGCTCGACGAGAAAAGGTGAGCCAGCCATCGAAGCCGGTCAGTGGAACATTAAGGGAGTGCTTTCTCGGATGGGCAGCAAACAAGAAGTTGTGGTTGAATACCGTTTGCACCATCGTATGTAGGCCATCGAAGTCGTGCGAAATGTGAGGTGCCAACCGTCTCGGTGGGGTGCATGTACCAGCTCCAAACCACCCGGAGATGTTCTTTGTGCCCTCTTGAGAACAATGCCTCATGTGCCGTTCCGATGATTTTAGATGTCGCCAGGAACACCCCTTGGCACCACACCGGTGTCAGTCAGCATCGGTGTTTTGCATTGCGGCACAAACGGTGTAGATAGCCCAAGTAGTACACCCTGAAACGCTACCTTACTTTCGGCTTCGTTCGACAATCGGGTTCTATTTTTGTCCTTGTCTTGTTGCGAAACTATTAGCACCCAAAGTCCGCAAACCAGGTTTACTTCGTCGGTTTCTACTTCCTGGAAGCAGGTGGGCGCGTATCAATGAGAAAAGTGTCCAACAACAGCGTTGACACGTCCGACAGCAACGCCGCCTCCTCGCCGCCAAGCCCATCCACCCCGAGTGCCACGTTGGACTCAAGTGAAGCAGTTGCAGCTGACACAGCCGATAGTTCGGACGAAGACGACGCCGAGGGCGTGATGGCTGTTGCCATTTCGTACCTCGAGGAGGACTGCCGCCGACTTGGAGTGGCGAAGTGAGTGTGGCTTTGTGGTCAACTGAAAGTGCTCGTTAGGCTAGCTAACGTCTCGGTGCTCCGAGTACCTTTTGTGTTCGATTGGTTCGCGAAACGCTTTCCCCCCGACACCCCTCTACTCAGCTCCTATGTACACGCCATCTATTTCGTGTCATGCGCACAGTGTAAGAGAACTGTTTTGTTCACTGAGAAACACTAGTACGTGCAGTTGGTACGTCACGAAGATTGTGGCACATGCGGACATCGATCGTCTTCGAGGCAGTGGTGCCTGCATTGTCTGCTATAGGTGTTGGCTTGTACCCTCGCTGTGAATACTAGAGTTCTTGCTTCAATCAAAGCGCCGTACCTTGATCCGCGACGGCAATATCCACCTGCAAAGAGCCACCTCTACCATTTGCAAACCCGGAGATAAGCCCAGGCCTTGAACGCCGGGCGTTCACAACAGGTGGAGCATGACCAGCCTCGCGTAGAGCCCATCTACTTTAATACTATCCCAAGCTCGCTGTGTTGATTGGCATGCACTGGGGGTTGCTTTGTTGCTGTCGTGCTCGCCCTTCCGCCGCCTTATTCCGCAGAGGAGAGCTGCAAGGATATTGCAACAACCTGCAGATCCAATTGAAAAGCGTACAAGAGAGTCTTGCGAAGATGCAGAGCAGCCTTGAGAGCGAAAGGCAAGGAAAAGAAGAAGCCGAACGAGGATTGGAGGTAATATGTTGTCTAATTTACACAGCCTATCATAGCTTCAGGTTGGTCTTGTGACGAGGTAGCCGCTCGTCGAAGAAACAAGCACCAGAACAACCACTACAGTGTGTCACCGGGAGTATGGTATTTGAACATGTCAACCGGCAAGAACTTTTGAACCTTGTCACACTTACGACTGTATTCTGTGACAAGCACATGTTTTTTCCCGTTCGTCATAGCATCGTCACTGACCAACGCGCCAGGAACGCCGCGAGTTACTTTCCAAAGCAACTTTAGCCGTTGCGGAGCATTCTATGGCTCTACACGACGCTCAAGAAGGCACGGATAAGGTCAAGCAGGAACTCGAACAGGAAAGGACCGCCACGGCTCAACTTGGACTGCAGCTCAAAGAGGTTAGGGACGAATGGAGATACGAGCGTTTGGTTTGCGTGCGACTCGTGGGGCCTGCTAATTTGCTTGAGCGATGTTGAGTCACCAATACAAAATTTAGGTCTTCTGCGGAGTCCTGGTGAACGCAGCCAACAAGACAATGGTAACGTTAATTTATTTGCTGGCGGTAGAACCCGGGTCAAGTTTGTCGCCCGCGTGAATCGGTTGCTGCTTGCGCCTTGTTCTCTGTGATGTCATGACATGCTTTATTGCCGTTCATACGGCGGACCGAACAGAGTGGACATCCAGTGTTTTAGAATCGGAACCCCGCGTGTGATACGCAGTCCTTGCAGACACAGAGTAAAGTGCCCCGCTCAACCCTATTATCGACAATACAGATGGGTACGGTGAACGGCGTTCTGGAGGCGGGACTAGTGGCGACAAAACACTCCCTCGAGATCATGACCACCGCCAAAGGCGAGGCAGAAGCAGCCGCAGAGCGCAACGCCTCCCAGGCCAAGCACAATGCTCTGCGCGCAGAGGGCAATGCATCCTGGGCCGAAGCAGAGGGCATGCGTGCCGAGGAGGAGTCATCACGACGTTTCCTGTCCGACGTGGTTGCAGCCGAGAGGGTGGGTGCAGTGGCGTGCAGGACATGCTGAAACGCAACGAGCTCTGTGGATCGAGCTGGGAGTTACAGCAATGAATGTCCCCAACCAAGCAACATTAACAGTATCACCGCGTCGGTTGGACGTATTGGTAGTTCAGACCGTGCAGAACGAATCGGTTGTTCACGCCACTGTTGCCTCCAGCCTTACCGCAGCCAGGGCACACGCCATGCCACTATCGTGTTGGCTGCCAGACGCTGGTGGTTTATCTTTTCTTGCAGATTTCATACGGGCGTTCCTCGTCTTCTGCACCGCACTTAGTCCCGGTGCGGTATTCGTCGATGCACAGATAGCTTTTCTTGGCGTGGAGCTGAGCAAGTGCGTAAACGAATTGAAACGACGGAGACTCGAGGCCAAGGAGCACGCGGAACAAATGAAGGTAGGTGCTATACTACATTCCCGAGGGAAGAAGTTCTTCGTGTCTACTTGCTATTTCACGGCACTGGTCATTTGGAAGGACGTTGCGTGGCACTTGATTTTTTCTCCCCATGCACGTCAACTAAACATGCCTATTGCGTTTGGCGTGATTGGAATCGATTACCGCTCTACTCATACCAACGCAGGAATTTTGGCAGGTCGTCGCCGAGAGAGCGAGGCTGGAGGAAGAGGTTGCTTCGCAGCGAGATACAATTTTGGACATGCGGCAAAGAACTGCAAAGGACCAAACGATGATCGAGGAGTTGAAGTTGCAGGTGAGTACGCGATTTTTCGCTTCAGGTTTTTTCTCAACGGCTCTACATGTATATTCTAGGCAACGCTCCCGTTACTTGTTCACAATGTATTGTATTGTACACATTAGTGCGTAAACCGCCTTCGCCAGGGCTCAAACTCGCACGTTACGTTTTTTACCAGATATCTAACCGCACTTGTATGGAACGCATGGGGGTAGGAACAAATCCACACCCGACTTGAAACTGCAATCGCGAAAGACGCAACTGCTTGGTTTAGCGAGAGGGTGAAGATTGGCGCGGTTAAAACAGACCTCCCCAATTCCGAGCTTTAACGCATCTTGCGCATAGATACTTGCGCGTTGTAACTCTCTTGAGGTGTCTGGCTTGGTTCTCACAGTTCTTGACAGGCACGACGAGGGAGTAACAACGACGTCACAAAATGCAGATATTTCGGGTCAACCGTCTCGTTCCGTGTCTTATTCGCGTGTAACCTGGTTTGATTCGAAAGGTAGTGTTGCTGGACGGGATGCGAAAAGAGGTCTTGAGTCTCGAAGACAAATTGGAACGGCTTCAAGTGGAGCTGAGTGCAACCAGGACTTCACTGGAAGCATCGAACCAGCAGCGCAAGGTGACGTAGCGAAGCGAATGTACTGCCTGTTAGTTTTGTCCAACGCCGCCAACCCCCAACCGATCACGAGCCGTGGTTCTAAACGGGTCTACCTACTAATTTCCGAAAGAACGGTGCCCCTAGTGGAGGATGTTAAAGTTCTTGCGGTCGAGTGATGGGCAAGTGTATGGCGTCCATTCTACAAAGTTTTCTGCGCCAAAACAATCGCTGGGGTCCTGGAGTCCCGGCGTGCGGAATAAAACGTGACGCACGACGTCCACGAAGCCGCGCAACGCCCAACCTATCTTTGTTTGTGTGTAGTGGGGCGCAATTCAAGATTCGACCGACTGTCGCTTGTTGCTCGGTCGGTGTAGGTGACCGAACAAGATCTGCGTGCAAACATCAAGCTGAATCGTTCCCTGTGGGCGGCCTTGACCTCCTCCGTGTTCCTGCTGGACGACTGGTGTGCGGGGCCCTTGTTGGCCTGGAGGTGAATACTACCAATAATGTTATTTGGAAATCTCAACTGTACAGGAGTGTGCGCGCACGGGTAAGGACGCCATGCAAGCACATGGCGCGGGATAGTGGCAGGCGTCGAACCAGGAAAGCGCCACCTTTGTGTGTCACAAGGGTTTGGGAGTAGGCGGAGCACCGGTTCGATTCTTGGTGTTGGCTTTCCACTGTGTGTGTGTGTGAACTAATCCCACTTTGCCGACAACCAAACGGAGCGGGTGCAAACCACAGCTTCCCACTGAACTTTGCACCTCCATGCCTGATGCATTACGTCGCATTTTACGGGTTGCCCGTACGACAGTAAATGTGATATTCTAGCGCTCCTCCTTCTGCCCTCCTGTGTATGCATGCGTGTGACGTTGTGCCTTAGGGAAAGAGACCCGGCGGCGGAACCACCAGCCATGCCGAAGCCTCCGCTTGAAGCCCGTGCTGTGGAAGACATAGTGAAACTCAGGAGACAGAGTCCGGGTGGTGCCGACGCCACTCGTTCGAGTCTCACGTCACCGCCTCTTCCCACAGAAGAAGCAGGGGTATCGGCAGGAGCACCTGCCACGACCATGTCAATACAGGACAGGCTTGAAGGACAGCGACCCAGAGCCGTGGCCGCCTGGCTTCGATTTCGGGTAGCCAACCACAAACTTTGGTTACATTCGTGTGGATTTCCCCGCATGTTGGGCACAAATCGTCTCAGAGTCTCTACAACCAGTGCCGTGATAACGACGAGCTTTTAGAAGAAGTGGCGCAATTTGCAATAGACGTGCATGAAACCACCACGTCTGAACCGATTTTGCCAAGGGTGCTAGACTACCATTTGATAGCGCGGACCGTGGAAACATGTCGCTTTCAGGTCCAAATCGCTACCGTGGAGCACCAAGACCGAGTCGACAGCGCACGCTCAGATCAAGTGCTTCTAGATTCCGTCTGTAAACAAAGGTGAGTCGCCTTCAGAGTCCGACCGTGGATACATAAGGCATGATTTTTCTTTCTCTTGCTACGCGTTGAGTGCGGTAATGAGGGCACGAAATGCAGCGAACGCGACATGGGTTAGGTCTCCGTTTTTGCCGTACTATACGTGCTTTCCCGCATCTCTCGCGAGGTGAAGATCGCCTCTTTCCGCTGATCATGGAATGCCTGTTGCAGACTGATTGCATGGCCGTCAAGCAAGCACAGTGTTACTTACATGGACTTAAGGTTAAGGCACCCACCTGCTTCTCAATCCAGCGATAGCTCTTGCCAGGAATATTGTTCACATCGCCCGCTGTTTGGATCGGTTGTACTTAGGGCCGCACAAATATCGAACATGGAAGAGGCTATGCGGAGGCTAGAGGCCACGAGGGCGGCATTGCAGAAGGAGCACGACGAGCTTCTCGTTGAGAAGGTAAGGTACGGAGGTAGATAAGCCTTGTGCCACCCATGCCATGGCGTCGCAAAGGGCGTACTCGACGTTATGCCCGGGCACGCGAAGACGGGTGTCCAGCATGTGGTGCCGCCCGGCTACTTGGTGTTTTGAGACGATCTCTACGATAGAAATATAGAAATGTATGCTTACCCAAGTACAAACACGCCAATCAAGCAATCGCGTGCTCTACATGAGGCACGCATGGTAGAAGAGTCGTAATCTACCTGTTTTCTGCTCTCGACGGAAGACACAAACGTACCGTCCGTGCCCATCATTTGTTGTGGTAGATGCCGTTCTACTATTTTGTAGATGCTCTGAGTGAATGCCAAAACGAAGGTAGGTGTTTTGTTCTAATAGGTGGGTGGAGTGCCGCTCCGAGGTCGATAGCGTTAGGAGGAAGTATCTCAGTGTCGAGCAAGCACTGGCCCCATTCTACAATCCGTGCACCAGCAATAGCTGTCTAGTGGACATGTATCATTATCGATCGACACACCGTTCCACCCGTTAGGAAGAGCTGCACGAGACGGTGTTGAAGCAGAACGACGTTTTATTCGACAACAGCAAGGAGCTGCGCAAGTACTCAGCGCTAAAGGTTGAGCACGCTGCTGAAGTTAGGCAGCACAGGAAGGTGGCGAGGTGTCTGCAGGAAGCAGAGGGGAATATCAGACGCGTCAACATCAGGCTTGAGGTATGCTTTACGTAGGTGTATTTCCCAACTGCGGTCATCCACCACACCGAGGACCTGCAGTCGTGTACGACGTAACGTTGTTCCATACGTCTATCAACTCTCCGCTGCCAACTCAAACACACGCATACATGAACCCACGGCAGAGAACAGTTGTTAACTCGCACCTGTTGCACACTTTATATCGCACCCCTCTGAACGTACAATGTTTTCGGGATTTTATCCCCTGTTGGAGAGGGGGAAAGTCTGCTGAGCTAAAATAAAGAGATTGCTTAACGCGGTTTTGTCCACATATATACCCGCCAATAGAGAGCCATTGGGGACGCGGCCGTGGCGGCCAGCTTGGCGAAGGAAGCAGAATCTGTGCGGGCTAGCGCTGTGGAGGAGCGCAAGGCTGCCGTCGTGGAGGCTCAGACAATCAGAGACACTATGGAGGTGGGAGCTCCGTTAGCACTGCTGAAGCCGGGGAGGTCATGTGTCAGATGGAGCACAACTGCGTTCGTCATACAGTAATCTTCCGGGGCGACCCCCATTTTTTTTTCACATTTCAGGCACGGGAGCTTTCTTCGCCCTGACTATTTTTTCAATTACTTAATTCTGTTAAAGAAGCATGATGACCACTAGACCACGACACCAGTCAGCGCTGACTAGTGGTTTAGTGGCCATCGTGCTTCTTGAAAAAAGTTTATGCCCGAGTCCGTCAAGCTTTCCTTCAAGTCACCAACACGTCCGACCAGGGTTGCCATTCCTGTGATAAGCGCTGTCTTGCCCCTGGGTACCAGAGGTTCATCGGCACATTTTAGGAAGTCTCATTGACTTTTTATTCCATATTGATATCGGGCAAAAATATTATCCTCAAAGGACAAAATGCTCAAGGATTAATTCGAACTCCGGACACAAGCTCTTGTTAAGAGGCACGATCACCACTGAACCACTAGCCAGCCAGCCTAGTCAGTGGTGATCGTGCCTCTTGACAATGGCGCACAGCTGCATTCGTCGTGCAGAAATCTTCCGGACCCGCCCTCATTTTTTCACTTTTTCGGCACGGGAGCTTTCTTCGCCTTGACTCTTTTTTTCAATTGCTTTTTTTCATCCCGTGATCTCTGATTATCCTGGAACGTCTACAGAGGGAGAAAGAGCAAGCGCAAGCCGTGGAAAAGCAGTTGCATGACTTGGTGGAGGCCAACGTAACCCGGCTGGCGACGAACACGGCGGTCGCGACAGAGGTTTGTCGACTCGGTGCTCGCTTGAATTTTCCGTGGCTTCAGGTCTAGCAAGCGTGGGCAATAATGGCGAGGAATAAAATCTTCGTTACAACTAATACAATATGACGGAGTTCATTGTTGTGGCACATGCTCCGACTGTACCGGGACGCCAATTTTCAAGGCATCTTGGGGTTTACGGAGTTTTTCACCCTCATCAGTTTCACTCGGATTTGATCCCTCGTCGCTTCGGCTAAGGTGGGACGCAAGACGTAGCCAGTCCCAGTTTCTTTCCGACGAGAGCGCAACCTTGAGGTGTGCGTTTCCACTTGTTTTTTCGCCCCCACCCCACACAGATACTGTACGGTGACTTCACCCACGAAGCAGGCACCATGACAACGTTTGTCAGTCCCGAGCTCACCATGCGTCAGCTCAGGCGGCTCCCGGCCGCCCGAGGCCTTGCTCCCGAAAGTTACGGACGTGTCTACTCACGCCTCAAAGACCCCGGACCCTGGGAGGACTTGCGGCACAAGCGGTCGGGGTGTGTTCGCCCTTATCACGTGTGCGACCAACCGGTGCGCGAGAGCGGGAAAACGTGGAAGCAAGGGCCAGAGGCCCCACCGTTTAAGGATGGGTGTGGGCCGCCGTGCGGAGCACAATCGCGGGCGGGAGTGGCAGGGAGCTGTGACATCAGCGGCTTGTTGAAGTTCCCGACGAACCGAATACCCCTTCGAATGTGAGGTCCAGTGGGGGCGCAGGTAGTGGTGAAATGAAGTAACGAAGGACACATCTGTCTGTTGTGGTTGCAGCAAATCTGTCCCTGCGTGTCGTAAGGCGTCATAAATTGATCCTTCTTAGAGATCAATTTGTAGCTGGTCTCCACTCGTTTGAGGCTCTTCGCAACGTAAAAAATCCCCCCCCTCCCATTTGACAGGATTCCCGACGGATCATATTCACCGCCAAAAACGGAGTATCTCAAGCGATATTGGGTGAACGGGGCTCCGCTGGACCGAGAAGTTACGAACGACGCACTACAGTTTTGGTAGACCGTCCTCCAATACCTCCGACAATGCCACCGCATGGAGCTATGGGTAGAATCCAGACAGAATGGGTTCGCTGTGTATTGTGATGCTTGGGGAAATTGTGTCAGTTCTGCCAACCCGGCACATTTCATCCCTAGAAGTACTGATTCCTCTTTCTTTGTCAGCAGTTCTCCCACACGTTGTGCTGGGAGGACCGCCGTGGAGCGAGAGATGAGGCGCGGGACATGTCCAGCTGCTTACTCCAGGGAACAAGGAATCGTTCACTATCGTATGCCTGCGTGAAATCTGTCGGTGATTGTTCTTGTTTCGATCTCAACGCCAAAGACGAGAAACAGCTCGCCATTATGTTTGACCTCTCCTAAATCGACTGGATCAAACACACGTTTGGGAGTGTACAGTAGATCTAAACAAATCGGCACAATCGAACACCCTCTCAACCACAGGGACATACTCCTTTCTGTACTACATTCCTCTGTACCGTGAAAAAACACGCGTTGCCAGCGCAGCGCTCTCGTCTTCCTCGGCATCTACCGTACTACGTCGCCGCGGCTATTCTAGAGTCTTAAGGAGGCGGAAGAGTCCCGCCGCTTCTCTGATTCGAGAAAACTCGATGCAGAATGCTTGCACCTCGATGAAGAGATCCTGCCAATACGATACAACAAAGCCACAACACGGACACGGGCAAGAGAGGAGAGACGAGACAGGACAAGAGTGTCGAACGTTAACGAGACTACCACCATCTTCCCCGTCTTCAAACCACAAAGATGTGTCACAATATCAATGAAAAGGTATATCGCGAGGGGCTAAACTTCCAGTACTTTGCTCGCCACCGGCCATCGACTTTACGTGGTGCACGCATCAACAAACATTGCACTGGCAGCACTCAACTCAGTCCACCAAGATCAGAAATCCCAGCACATTTTTTCCTGGCGACAAAAAGCGCCGTCTCCAGCACCTTCACGAGCTACTCACCTCGACATTGATGATCTTATTCCTTATGAGAGACTGCAAAAACACGCACACCAGTCGAACCAATCGGTTCTGCATGTACTTGTCCTTGATGTTTTCGCAGCTTGAGATGCAATTCGAGATGTAGAGGTGTATGAATTCTGTTGGCAGATCAACGCTGGTCGTCAGCCGATTCACCACCTGGTACGGCATCCACGACAGGCAGGCAGGGACCACCAGGCATCAAGGGGAGGGTCAGGCGACGCCACCTTGTTCTATCGACATATTTTATCGGCTATTTTGTGCCCATCGTTCGTCTTCGAAACACTCAGATCAGTAATGCCTACGGCCGCAGGGAGTTTGTTCAAGAGGCGTCAACTACTCGTCGGTTGTCACATTAGACCTTGCCTAGTCTCGCCAAGACTGTCGGCGCACTATCTACCCGCTGCCGAACACTGTCGCACCTCCATTGAGTGCAGCGACATGTCCATGTTCACCAAGGCGCTCAGGTACTCCGTGATCTGGCTGGAGGACATGAGCTTTAACAGGCACTCGATCGCGATCATCGGGTTGTTCTCCACTAGGTCGGGCAACTTAAAAGGCGTCAGCCCGCAGTGGTAGACAAGTCGCGTATCCCCCTGCAACTCACTCAGCACTTGCTGCTGTTGGGTAGGCAGCAGTGGTCCCTGTCCAACAAGATGGGGGGAAAGGCAGTCCAGGTACACGCACCTGATGTGAGCACATCAGTCCGGGCGACACGAGCTCTCACGCAACACGCCATATTACAGAAAACATATTTATCGCTATACAAAAAAATGATCATGAACTCTTTGGGGCACGTGGGAAGTTTGGCATGAAGACTCTCGAACTATCTTGCAACGAAAAACACATGTCGGCAATATCTGACGAACAAAACAAAAGTACAATACCGAAACATAAACAATACAGGGTGCCCTGACTAAAGTAAATACCAAAAGCAGCAACACATTAATGAGTGAGTGCTGCCGCACCTTAAAAGCTTTCGCCATAACGTCTCGAACCTCTGCCCCCTTGGAACTATCTTGCCCCATACTCGTGTCCCACAGCAAGCGAGGAGCGTAGTCTGGATTAAGCCACATCACCTGTTCATCCAAATACACGAAGGGTTGTTGACTTGGATTGTGAAAGGCACTTACAGCATATGTCCTGCCTTACAACCAAATCCCAACACATTGAAGTGAATTGAACAAGAAACACCTTTTTCATCCTGCCTAAACATTATATTCAACCAAACGAAAAATAACAAACCTACTTTCGGTTGTTTTTCCTGCTGCAATGCAGAAAAACACATCAACACTGGTTCCTCTGAACTTCATCTTGCTCCACACGAAAACGACCACTGTATTATCCGTGTGGAGAAGTGGAGTACCGCATATTGCATATTGCTGGGTCAACGCAACGAACACGTCGTGCACCAACACAGTCACATCTATTGACCGGGGAACAGCAACCACGTCTTGTACACATGCTTGACCGCGAGGTTGCCATGGAATCTGGCGAATATTCTCCGACTATCATTGTAGAAGACACTGCGGGTCATGCCGAGAGACACACTACACAAAAGTCCCTTCTCACGCACGCCAAAGGTCCAACTCATATCAGAAAGAGCGTCTACGCCGACTCTCCCATGTCCACCGGCAAAGCGAGTATAACTGCATGCCCAGGGGAATTGTAGCTGATATACGTACATGGAGCCAATGTACTCGTTTTGAAACAAGGGAAGTGGGGTAGGGTACCCCAACGCACCTCGGAGTCGGCAATCGGGAGCATTGGGGGAACCGGACGCATGAACTCCGGCTCGAAGCTTGCCAGGGATAGGGAGCCCCCTCTCCCTCCTTCGCTGAGACGCATGTCGTCCAGCGTTAGTGGCTGCAGGGGCAGAGAAATGAGGGACCCGACGTGCTTAGCCCGAAAATAAAGTTGCGCACGACACATCAAACCGAAAACTACAGGGGATAGCGTCTGCAAGATTCTTTTCATGGCGCACTGTTGGCATGCATCCGATCATCTGTGTTCCGAGCGCAAATCCAAACGACGGATGGTAAAAGTGTTGCCACTGGCAAAGAGGTTGGCAAGTCAAACCTCCTGCAGATGTGGTTCAGAATTTTCACAAGCACACCAACTAGCGTTGGCGCAGATTCTGGCACGAAAAAATGCCTGCTACTACATGCATCGATTGCACGTACTTCACGCACACTGTTATAGGAGATGAATACTGCTGTAGCACCCATGCCATCGCCCTCTTCCACAACGATCATACAAGCGAAATGGGTGACTACCGAAGGGGCGGAGAGGTGGCAACCCCCCTAGACCGGTCTTCAAAGCTAGATTGCTCCACAATCAAGCTTATGCCAACCCCAAAAATGGTGGTTTTGGAAACGTCTCGTCGAGGGCGTTCCGTAGACGTGTCGAGTTCTTTCCGCATCCACTTGTTTGTGGAGCAATCGAATCGACATTTGAAAGTCGGTTTAGGGAGGGTGTCATCTCTCCTCTTAGAGTAAGCTTCAACTCGTAGGAGAATCCTGTCAACGTACATCGTTACCTGAATGGGGGTCGGCGCTTCTCTCTTTCCTCCAACACCCCCTCGCAAAGCAGCCCCCCCTGGCGCCCTCCCCACTTGCTCCTCGGGTCTTGGCGGCAGCCATGACCCGACTTCGTTGCTGCTCTCGGACGGATCTGCCAGCACAGGTCGCACGCCCGCCGTTCTATGCTCGCAACGGAGAGAAACATGCCGAACATGGTAACAAACAAGGCCAAGACTTAATTCGGTGACTGCCGTACTCGGTACGGTGCGATACGACGGTCGTTCGTTTGGACTTACACTTGGATCGCCATGGCATTGGCGCTCTCCCATCAGACCCGCGCCAACGTGCACCTCGAAGGTTGCAACCGCCCAAACTAGAACGTTCTGTTGAAATTCTGGGGTAGTTAGATCGAATAGACAACGCCTTAAACTGCACATTTGCGCCACCTCTTTAGCTAACCGTGACCTTTGCGCTCAAAGGAGTATTTAGAAGCAAGGTGTTAACCAGTACCTGAGGCTCGGTACGGCGGGATTCTTCTCGCTGTATAGCTGCCGCAACGCTGACAGATCCGGCACCTCCACCGCTTCAGCCGGGGTGCCCTCGTACTCCTCAATCACTTGCAGAGCATTTTTTCGAGCGGACTGGGCAAAGTGGATAGAGCGGACCAAACACGAACGACGCACGGCGATGAAAGCAACTGTCTTTGCTCCTGCATCGACGACCCGATGGGGTTTTATTGCCCTGACCTGGCCTCGAAACATGCCCGGCGCTGCCAAGAAATTCACTTCTAGTCCTGTATCGGAATGACAAAACTATCGATCCATTCTAACACTGGAACACGAAAAGCTGGAACGCACAAAACTGGAGAATACTCAGCCTGGCCTAAGGCAGCGGCCGTTCTAAATGCCCTCGTCCGAGAGCCTAAAGTGCAACTAGACTAAAAGTCCAGCGGCCAACCGCGTCCCCAAGAGACAACGTCACACCAACAGACGAGGCGCGACACTCACATTCCGGTTTGTCGGTGGAGAGCACAGCAGGTGAACAAGGTATTGCCTCTCAACAGGATCAGTTCCTTTCTCGATGGCTTCAAGGAAGAACGGCAGGAATGGGTTCGTTCCGTTCGCATCGTTGCGGTAGAGATCGCACAAGATGGAGAACGAAACCACACGCTGGGGCGACGCGACAAGACATGGCGAAGGCAAAGGCAACGTCATGGTTAGACATCCAAGTCCCCCGAGAACAAACGCAGAGTCGGAAACAATTTGCCAACCGCAGAAGTGCTCCAACCAACAGCAGTATGGTGCGGCAGAAGTACGGCGTTCACCCGCATGTCTCCGATGTTTTCGCGTGTCATGCTGGTCATCAGCCAAGACCATCGAAACAAACTGCAGCTCCCCGTTCTTCGTTCTTGGTTTGCTCTGTGGCGAAGCCCATCGGCTGCGCTACACGGCTGTACTGCAAATATACCCGAAGAAGCAGGTGTCGAGCAAATCGTGTAGGATGTACAACACAGGTATAATAGTACTGAAACAGTGCAAACCTCACTGCGACTTAAGTCAAAGGTCAAATGAGAATGGAAGGTCAAACCCCGCGAAAAATATCCCGCCTAGCCCGACACAAGCACACATATCACCGAGGCAGCTATGTAGGTGTACTAAACACGAACAACCGAGGCGTCGCTCACCTGAGTGCGCGTCAGCAAATTGTCGCAGAGCAAGATGCACAGTGCGCACCCCACTTTGAAGTGATCATTACGCGTGAACGTCCGGTGGAATTTCTGTGCTACGTTCTCGAGGATATCGTCCTCATCCTGCAGGGCAAGACGAGGGGTCATGCAGATGCAGCGAACAGCGTACACAGGTACCGTCGTTACATTCAATCAAGCAAAATTACGTCTGAAACATGCTGTTGCTTGACCGTACCGTAGGATGCATGAGATACCACGCCCCCTGGATCAATTGGAAAGATTGATCACTCTGGAACGAAAACAGTGGCAGTGCCGAAAATGGCGGCGTTGGAACCGCCTCGTCGAGAGCTTTCCGAAAACGCACAATTTGATTTCGACATCCTCGTCCTCGTGGAGTAACCGAGCTTTGGAAATCGGTCCAGGGGGTATGGTATCTTGTGTCATGTACGGTAGGACAATCGTCTAATCCAATAGGAGGAAAGGTCGTCGATCATGATTATTCAGGGCAGCCTTATTGCCAAGAAATACACGCAATAGGACGACCAGAGACGCCAGCAGTACAGTAGTTAGCCTGTTTACCGTAGACAAAGAAACATCGCGTGTTACCGCCGTGTGCACGTGTAATACAGGTTTCCAACGGTGTCCGGAGAGGTAGGGACCCCATGACTCCAAACATCAACCAGAGTTCCGAGATTGGTAAACCTCCTCTTTTTGAAAATCACACCTGTCTACCAGGTGCAAATAGTCACGCGACCATCTGTGTCTATCGACTATAATATATATAGTATTGCTGAGTCTAAGGAAACTTTCGGTCTCCCTACACGCGAACAGGGTTGCGTCCGGATTAGCCATCGAGCGTGCGTATAGGTACCAAGAAGAGGAACGGTTCCCGCATATTGCGTAAACTCCTGGACATAAGTGGACTCACATTGAGCAACTGCAGCAAGGGGGTTAGCTCTTGAGGGTCGAGCATAGTTGCACCACACACCCCCAACAAAATGCCAAGTGGCACATGCAAGCACAAGCAGGGCCGGTAGGGGGCAGCGATTCAACAGATCGGCGGATGCGGGGGGATAACATTTTGTGGCAGGCATGCTCGCGGGGCCCCCTGTCGTGAGGCGGACCCTCGGCGGACCTGTCAGACCAAGCCTGTCTACAGTACCTATTTTGCACAGCCGACAGAGACAGAAAGGGATAAGATTGTGAAGCTCTCTCATAATAATATCGGATACAAGTGTGCTGGAACGCGGTCTATGCTAATAGATCCGGTGGTGTCGGCGTACGACCACAGCATAAGCCGGCTCTGCTGAACTCGAACCCGCGCGCGCCGTTAGGACACGTTAGGAGGAAACTGAGAGCAGGACAGCAATCATACTATGAGCGGTGCTTCACCGTCCCCACCAGACTCGTCTCTAGATGAAGCCACCGAAGAAGGATTCATACTGGTGAGGAGCTAGCAACCGAAGGAGAGCATGTTTTGCCAGCGTGGCCTTGGTGTTGGTGCGTCGAGTGTGCCATGTACAAGAGTTGGCGCCATTTCTTGTGACGTCAAGATCCAAAGCCCCGCACACAGGAGGCAGTTTGTGTTTTCGGCACGAGCTAGGATCCCGAGGAAAACTCCTCGACCGCTCATGTGTGCAATCGCCGCGTCGGATGAAGTGCCAGCGAATAGCTTTATTTCCGGAACGTTCGCCATATGCTGCAGGCGAGTATCAACACTCTGCTGAACCGCGTGGGTATTTCTGCCAAGCCCATCAACTCGTTCGAGGAGCTTCGCAAGAGCGCGTCCAGCATGTTTGTTGCCATCTTCGAGGCCATGTTCCAGGTGCGAACGGGTGATCTCTGTTGTTCGATATTGTGCTGGGTTTTACTCTGCTCACTCACTTGGTGACTGTACCGCTGTGTCGGGGTGTTTTCCCACAACAAACCTCGGGGTGTAGAATCCGTAAACAAACAACTCTGTCCAATCAGGTTCAGCAGTAGGCTGACGATCTGTCGATCGATCAGCAAACCCTCCGCTCACAGCAACATGTTGACATGTTAACGTTGAAGCGCCATATATATTCGTACGACCCCTTACCCGTATGGATCCGATGCTGTCCAGGAGAATGCGTTCTTACCAAACTCAAGTGAACTTGGATACACAGTACTGTTGATCTATTGCGACGACACCAAAGTGTGCTTGCTTTTGGGGTGTGCCATAGTGCAATCGGCCGTTGAGATTTTTTTTGCTGCCCCTTCGGGTCTATGAAGACATGAGGAGACGTGGTTGGGGACAAACAAGTTGTCCCTTCCATTTTTGACCCCCTTCTGCAGCGCTTCGAGCTTCCTACTCTGAAATCATGATCAAGTTTCCCCTCGACAAGTGTCCCCTCCATTTTCTAGGTGACACAAGACTAAGATTGGGTTTATTGATAGTCGACACAGCAGTCTGTTCGTTCTCTGGAGCTTTGAGATCATCCACAGTATCACAGCAGCCAGTGCTCCACTTGGAGTGTAACTATTTTTTTCATGTGTTTGGGGTTGAGAATGAGAACAAAGCCGAAGTCGTGTATCGCCCCCCTCCCGGCTTCGATTTGGGCATGTGCGTATATTCTTGGACAGGTTTGACTGACATCACTTGGAGTTACAGCAGTCTCGCCAATAGGTTTGCGGCACCTAGGGCTGGTTACACACGCAAACGGGTGGGGCGGGGACACGGCTCTTTTCGTGTAACTTATCAAACCTATGGGATAATGGTTGTCGAAGCTTCCTATTTGTTTCACGACAATCCTATTAGGAACTCTGGTGGAGACTAGCGTGGGGGGTGGGTGACAATTCTCTATACTTGTGCGCGTGTGGACGACCAACCGCTTCAACCCACCGCCCGCAAGCGTACAGTCACACTAGCCTCCCTCTTTGCCCCCAGGACCAGGACGATGTGGCTGCTGTTACGATATATAAGTATGCGAGATTTGTGTGCATTTGTCATCTGTTCTTCGGTGCTGGCAGGTCCGGCAGCGAGGAGTCGTGCGGAAGCCGGCGCACGTCCACAACTACGTCCACAACGCGCAGATGGTGGTAGATGCTCTCGCCGGCCCGATCCTGAACATGGACCTCTCACACATCACGGGAGAGGCGATTGTCAGGGGTGATACTGTGGCCATACGGTGAGTTAGCACCTCCTTTGCCCCAACCTTTCTCGTGCATATTCGTACCTGTGCTGTCTTGTATGCCCGACATGGGAAGCCCGGTCCAACGATTAGCATGTGGCAAGCCCAGCTACGCTTATGGTGGAGTGTGGAAAGCCTGAACCACCTCTTGTGCTTACCGCTTGCAGGAACTTTGTTACCCCAGATATTCGTGGGCGTCTGCGCCCGAGCTCTAACTCGCTGTGTGGAACCCTTTTCGTTCGACCTCTGTGAATATGATATTATCATTTATTATTTCCAGGAACCTGGTGGACATCTTCATGGGGATCAGCGAGGTTGTTATCAAGCGCCAGGGTGAGAACTCCTTGCTGTACGTAATCTTGCTAACATGTGTGCTGCCTAATGGTGGTTAGCGTGCATGCTCACTGTAGTTTCTCGACTTCGACGGCGAGAGCCAACGGAATACAAGGTGCAGCAGGGGCATGCGGTCATCTTTGCTGTTGGCTGCTCAGACGTGCACGTTAACGCTGCTGTTTTTTGTGGTCGACAGGGGTGGCAGCTGACCTCGCTAATGGTGGATGCTACCGTTTCGAATATTCAACGTCTGCTTTCCTCTGCGGCGGCCATTCGTGCACCTCAGTCTGAAGTTGAATCCCCGATCTTAACCCTTTTCGCTGCCTTTCCCTCCTCCAGCCCGACCGGATGGTGGGCCTGCTGCGCAGGAATTTTGGGCTGGATCTCGTCGAAGGCTCAAGGCCCGCCAGGGCCAGCCGCAACTTCAACAACAGCAGAACCAAGCGCAGCACCATGGCACAAGCTCACACCCACCACCTACGGCTAGCCGTTTCAGTCGTCACGGCCAGGTACCCGTAGTAACCGTAGTGAGCTATTTGCTGTGTTCGCGTCTTTAGGTGGGAAATCAACTGATCTTATCCATCCCTGCTGACTGATGGATGATACTAACTTTTCGTAGCTGTAAAGACCAGGTTTCTCACAGGCTTTCGTACGGCATCATCGAATTGTTTGTAGGTATGTTGTATTCAGCAATACGAAGCAGTTAGTTGTCCGTGCCATCAGACCTCGAGTGAAACCACACGTCACCTATGGACTTCAACCCGGTATCTTCTCCGTTGCACTTTTCCCCCATTCAACACACATGGCCTGCAGGCACGGCACCACACCGGTCCTTGGGCAACCACACTATATTAACACGCCTGGCTCCGCATCGAATATATATGACACATTTTTTAGTAATCTATGTTGAACCAAACGCAACAAAATGATGGCGACGTCATGTAGGCTGTATGAACACATTTGCTCGGAGCCAAAAACTAGGTGAACTCGTCGTCGTTTGCGCTAGAGAGCAAGTTAAGTGGACAGATCAGGAGCAAGTCGAAAACATATGTCAGTAGTTTGGAGTTGTTCGCAGACGTTGCGTGAGGTACAATGGCAGTCGTCCCCGGCTAAACCGCGGCTTTTCGTATGCAGAGGCTCCCACAGACTCAACGCTCCTCGGATCCAGTATCCAACGGTGGTTGTTCCAGTTTCGTGGTTGTATTTGGTGGCGCAACCACTCGCACAAATATTTTTTCCAAGAAATAGACCAACGGCCGCGGCTCCGCGTTTCTCTCACAACTGATCATCACACGGACCCACCTTGTTGTTGGTACCTGAGGCATGAGACTCGTCGCATGTGTTTAAGTGGTGTTAGCCAATTCGCCTCTGCCATTTAGGTAATTGCCATGGTATTTTGCTTGCAGTTCGTGCGACTCACTCACTCTGCTCGTCCGTCACGTGCACGAGCAGCAGCACGCCACGCGCGTGTCAGATACTGGTAGAGGAGACAGGGAGCACGGGTTTAGGGTGCGACCGCCCGCGCACGAAGGCTTGCAAGAGTCCGATCACGACGGACTGGACGAGAGTCTAGGGAGGTCCGAGCTGAGCCCCTTTCGGGGAGAAACAGAACTGAAGTCGAGCCCCTCGGGGGAGGCCCTGACTGCGCGTGACATTCTCGAAGCCCACAGGATGTTTGAGGAGCAGGGAGAGGGGTTTGAGAGGCGCGAAGATGTGGATGTGCAACAGGGGCCGCTCAGGGGCGAGCAACTTGGACTTGATCGGCGTGTCAGTAGACAGGTGACTGAATCTTGCTGTTACTTGTTTTTTTCTTTTCTATTTTTTCTCCCATCATTGGACTCTGTCGTCTGCCCCTATCCTCCACTTCTACCAACTAGACGACCCAACCGGGGTCACATAGGAGGGGGGGGTTGGGCCCCCTCCTGCGGTTCCTGCCTGAGATATTTTTATCGCGAGAAGGGTACAGCAATCCCTTTCCTCGCGACTTATGAAGTCGATCAAGTTTACTAACAACGAGCTTTGCAGCGCGTCGCTTCCAACGGAGACCAGGATTTAATACGCGACAAAAAACTCTCTCTGTCGGGACTCGAACCCATGACCAGGCCCTTAGCAGGCTGCGAGGCTACCTACTAGACCACCGGGGCGACCGGTGTCCTGTAGCGTGCTGCTTTCGGGGGCTCGGCATTGTATAGCGAGGTCTACATGCTGACTCACCACTCTGTGCTCCATGTAGATCTCACCACTTGCCACACTTGCGTCCTTTTCCCTACGTGTACTGTAGAATAGAACGATGTTCTTGTCGAACTCAATGTTGGATGAGATTGTCCTATTGCATCGGTGCTGCACGTGCAGCTATCACTGGCGTAGCGTTTGTTTGTTGCCTTTGTCTGGCGCCTGGTTTCTCGCTGTCTTCTCGTGAACCTTTTTCTGCTATCGTACCGCCGTGCATGATGTAAGGCATGATGTAAGGTACCTGGCCGATGACGTGCCATGCGCAATTTCAGATACGTATATGTACCACAAGCGTATGGTATTTTTTTGAAAACACATGACACGGTATCGTTTTCTGTTTGGGGGGGTGATGTTCTCCACCGCTGCTGTCAAAGCTAGTCCTTATGTCACGCGGTGGTGGTCTGTGTGGGATGTGATGAAGTAGGCGATTTGATGGCATGGGCTTGAGATACCTTCTCGAAACATAAATGTTGCTATCGCCCTCTTCTGACGGTGTGATATCAGAGACGTGTAATCCTCGGCGTCAGAATATGCTGATGATACAGAACGAGCTGTGGCATTTCGTGCCAGCATTGTTGGTGCTATTCACAGGTGGTACACGATGTTTCATATCGAACACACACCAGTGTTTATACCCCTGATACAAATGATTTTAATACTGCAAGGAGGCAGTGGCGCAAGATACCCCCATGCGGAACAAACGAAGTACGGCTCCCCCTTTAGGTGACACAATTGCGTTCACCTACGATTACAATCAGAGCCATCAGAGCAAAATACCCGAAACTCGGCGCTCAAAGCGAAGGTGCGAAACGAAGTAAGAATTGGCCAACTGAGCGACAAAACACAGACAATCGACCGCAGAGGCCAGGGAAACAAAGACACACTGGTGGCGCTCGATACTTGATCGAACCGCGGGAGTGGTTGAACGGATCAATGCACAAGCACGATCCATGGGTACTTAACAAGGGAATGGTGTTCGTGCGTGATGGTACGATACGGGGGTCACGCCGTCACGCATACGTACGTGTTTGATTGTCAGGGGCTCCGTGATGACACTTCGGCAGAACTCCGGGGCGTGTGATATCGTATGTCACCCGTGTGACATCCCGGCCGGCAATACGGAATTTCAAGCAGATACCACACGACCCGATATTCTGTGAAGGTGTCCTTTGAGACCCATTGATCCACTTTCTAGGGAAGAGGCAACACGTGCAGCTGACACCAACTTGTTGTCTGCCCTTGAGCCTCAGGAGGAGGATCGGGAAATGAAATACCGCCGATACTATCAACGGGTACTCAAGGACCGTCTCACGGCGCTGCGGAAGGTACGGTCCATGTGATGCAGTTTGTCGGGGAAGTATTTGTTTTGTCTTTGCGATGGAGCCCACGATCTGCACCTGTCCGATGGTATCCTCCCTATCTTCCTGTTGCACCCCCCAAAAACGGATATACGAAAATTATTTAGGAAGTTTTATTTCGCTCCCAGGTCCAAAACCACGACCTTGCTGTTCCTTAGTCTAGCATACCAGGACACCCGGCGTGCTATGCGGTGTTCCGATGTTCCCATGTCCCGACCTGCTTGTGTGCTCTGCTCTCGGTGTTACTGAGAGACGGAGTAGAGCCGTATTGTTGGGGGAAAACGGGTGTTTGAACGCGCCTTCCACCCGCGCAACCTTCCAAATTTGATTCAACTTCACCTGAACAGATGGTCTGTGTCGCTGCATGGTTTGAGTCGATCTCTGAACCCACGAAGAGGGCCTGCCGGTTGGAATACCGCCTGAATGTGTTGATCGGCTCGTACGGCCTTGGTCAGCGCTCAGCTGAGAGATATAGCAGAAAGGTCTCTGATACTCTCTCTGTCCCTGTGCTGCGTGCGTCTGATGTACATCGTGCAGAGAGAGCTCGCGGACGCTCGGAAGCAACGTTTTGCACACCAGAACGCTACTCACGTCGCGAAGGTCCGCCAGGTGCGCGCTCCTCAGATGGCCAATTGCCAACACGTGGTGAATCGGAGAGATTTCCACCTTGAAGCTGGGAATATGTACACTCGGTAGTATACTCTCGATGAGTAATTTCCCGTGTCTTAACGTCACGTGCTATCGTCGTCCGGTGTTGGCTTGCCAACTATTTCCCTGTGCAGATAAAGAAAGAGCGCTTGGAAGAGAAGCTACGTCTGGCAAGACTGTCTCAGCGCTTGCACTTGCAGGACGAAGGCCGCGGCCGGCTGAGTGACTTGTACAAGAAGATTCTTACAGCGTTACACCGTCAGAGGAAGGTGAGTGTGCGATTGTGTCCCTCTGTAGCTTGGATCGTCGTTCTCAAAAGCAGTCGTTACGGAGGATATGTTGTCGAGGTTGCGCTTGACTACCTCCCGGGTATAAACCAAACAAACCCAGGAGCTGTTTCTGCGCTGGCTTAACCTGTTTCGTGTGTGCGGACCTTCCTTTTAACGTTTTGTTAGGAGGATGATCGGGAGGATGCGGCACGACTGAAGGCCCTTCATCTAGCGTGGCAGGCGCAATCAGACGACCTCGAGAAGTTGTAAGTGTCTACCATCGTGTGTGCGTGGTATTGTGGGTTGTGCTGCGAAGCATGTTGTGTTCGTCACACCCGCCAACTGGTCCGACTACCTTGGATGTCTTTCTATCGAGTTTGCTCGAGTATCATTTGTGCAGACCCGACATTACATTGAATCACTCGGGGCGTACGTCCTTGCTCATTTGTCAGCTTCAAAGAGCGCGTGGAGCTGATTGTGGAACATGAACAAGGCTCTGGTAGGGAGCGTGCCCAGACAATGGCCTCGGAAGAAAGGGAGCTGTCGGATCTGTTCCGCCGCGCCGAAATGGACTACGAGGCCCGTCTCTCCAGCCAGGTACAGTTCCCACCAAAGTTGCTGGCAGGGCTATTGCGCTTGCTGGATTCAAATACCGAGTAGTTACGCGAAACTTCAGCGGCCCAGGGCTTTGGTTGTGTAAAAATCTTCATCTCGTCTGAGCTCTCTACACCACCTTCACAAAGATACTCTTCGAGGACCAGCATGGTTGCCCGAGGCAACGTGCTTTTCAGCTTGTCGTGCATAGCTTCCATGGACACAACAACGTTTATAGTGCAAGTTGTTCGGTTTCAAAGGGTTTTTTTCGCTGCCTGCTTTTCGTCCTACCACCCCTACCAGCTCGAACAACAGGCGGTGGAGGCAGCGGCTGAGGAACGGTACCATGCCGAGGTCCAGCACGCCTACAAGGAGCTGCTGCAGATGGAGGACTGGTCTGGCGCCTCACGAGACAGATTCCTAGGCGTTCGACCGAATACCGCCTTCGAGCAGCGACTCAAGCAGGCAAGCGAAAGCAGCAACAACTGTATTCTGCAGGATTTGTAGTTTACAGCAGCCTGCGGTTGATCACCACAGGAGGGCGCAAGCTTTTGCAGCAGATTGCAAAGGTGCTCTATCCTCCCCCAACGTTCCTTGCTAGAGGAAAACCGGTGAGGAAGAAACACATCTGCTTCAATCGATGTAGGGATTTTTCCTCGTGTGCCTCCAGCAACTGCTTTTGCTGCCCGTCGTTTTCGTTCAGGTGCGCGTGAGGGCAGACACGGCGAGGTCGCGAATGAAGAAGGAGAGGAAGCACAGAGATCTCAACAGAGCGTATGGAAAGGCCAGCTGAGGTCATCACATCCTTCGGTAGTGCACATTTCTAAACTACGTTCCGCTGGGTTGCATGGATTGGGGTGTCTCGAAGGCCAGTAGCGTTTTTGCGTGTTTCCTATGATTTTTACGGATGTGGTGCTTGTGGTGGTCGGGGTCATTTTGTGGTATGTGGAAACGTGTTAAGAGCTCTTGCTGACCGCGAGGAGCTTGTCGACTACATTAAGCGGATGAAGAGAGAAAAGGTTTGTGGGTGGCGTAGGACTCCACTACAGAGTCGGAGCTAGGCGAGTTCAAGTACGGCAAGGAGGGACCTATCATCTGATCATGGTTCCGTGCCTAGTTGTCGTCAGATGGTGGTGGTGCAAGTGGTTCCAAACGGAAACGGAGTTGTTGGTATCAAGGAAAACTGGACAACGATTGCCCGAGAGATCTCCCCCCACAATACGTACAGAACACAACAACATTCACCCAGTGACACATTTCATGAAATATCTCCTTCCTCTTGCTTTCGGCAAGCTGGACATACACACTCGACAAAACCAACGGGACGCCTCTATCAGCAATTTATCTCTAAGAAACAACGACCTCCTTCAACAGATACTTGTTGTTGTTGTTGTTGTTGTTGTTGTCTTCATTCACATTACAAAACCGTTCCGGTCTCCATTAGTACGTTCTGATGTCCGTACCGGTCCAACTGACTTTACGAATGATTTATGTACTCGTCACGGTCGTCCTTGGCTCTTGTTACCCGCTGCGAGCCTGGAACCAGCTCCTGTTGTTGTTCTCAACGGCGTCGCAACCGAACACCAACGGTGACATGGCCGCGCTGACGGGGCAATCCGCTGTAGGCTTCTCAGGTGCAGAGACTCCAGCGTCGACATCCTTCTCCTGTAGAGAGGAAAGACATCCCATTTTCTTTCTCAATTCAAAAGCCTCGGAAGTAGTCGGTATCTATCGCATTTTGATTACCCCCAAAAATCCCCCCCCCGGTGTTTGCCATCGGGATTGGGTTTTCGTCGCTCGGCAACGACGTTGTAAAACAAGCCAATTCACTTCGTGAACTCGGCAACCAGGTTGTTGTTACCGTTTTTTTTTTG